TATTTGAATAATTTATTATCGACTTCAATAACATGAAAAAAAGTTCTAAGCACCACCACAATTATTTCACTTGTTTTTCTTCCTGATCCTCACATCTGTCAGAATCGAAAATCTAGACGGGTCAAAACCGATGGATTTTTACGCATTCACCATTCTTTTTAGTCCCATCCACCATTTTCGCCAGTAGTTATTGAATAGCGATCGATACAAATCTACCTTTTTCTAAATGAACAGTGTCGTACTTGCCCACTTGCTTATTTGTAATTGTTATTGAGGAGTTAAAAAATGACCGTTACTTTAGATAAAATTATATTTCATTTTATATTGTATTTATAATGTACATCCTCCCGAGGAGTTGTTCTTCTAGGTCATCGTCCATCCTGTCCTTTCCAGGAAGGTGGAAGGGTCACTGGGAGACATCTCCTTTATATCGGCTGGTGTAGGCCAAGACTCGCCGAACACACACTCTCTTATTGACGATAACTCCGGGCACTCGCATAGGACATGCCTGACAGTCTCATCCTCCTGTTCACACATCCTGCAAAAATGTGTCCACTAGCCCTATATTATGAAGGTGTTTTCTTAATTGACAGTGGCCAGTCAGAAATCCTACTGTCAAGCATCGATTTTTCGTGGTCATCGCCGGATATTTCTTCGGCGCCAGCTTCCCAGAGTTGCCCAGGGTGATCCTGGCAAGATTGCATCCTTTGATTTCATCCCATCTCTTTAGGGATTGAGCATGGGTGTAACATTTGACTAGTTCCTCAATTGTCGAAGTCATAAGGCCTTTGGTGCCACTGGGTTCTAAAATTCTTAATCCAGCCGCTTTCTTGACTGAAGAGTCGGCAATTCGATTACCTTTACTCTTGTCGTGCCCTTTAACCCACCTCAGGATAATGTTGTTATCTACCGAGGCTTTGGCTAAATCTTGGTGGCACTCTATTACTAGCCCTGAGGTAACATGTTGTCTGATCAAGGCTAATAGGACTTGTCTGCTGTCAGTGCAGATTGTTATGTTTTTGCCAGAAATTCCTTTCCTGGTTATTTCTTTTATGGCGATTGAGATACGAGCCAGTTCTGTTTGGACCACGCTGGTATGTTTTTCCATTTCCCACTCAATCCTCAGTGATCTGGAGTACACTTCACATCCTGAGCCTTCTTTGTTTTTTGAGACGTCTGTAAATATGCGTATTGCATTTGTATTATATAACTCTGTGTTCTGTTTTATTTGTATTTTGTTGGGTTTATCAAACACACTCCTGGGTTCAATTGCATCACTGGTTGCCTGCAGCAGAGGTTGCGCAAAAAGCGCGTCTCGCCATAGGCTCAGTCTCAATTGACCCATTCTTACTTCGAGGTTTATACCAGCCGTGCGCAATCGTAACAAAGCCATTAACGCAACCTCCTTAACGTACAGATCCAGAGTAGTCAGACCGGTATTAATTCCATTGCCGCGATTGGTGTTGTTCCCATGGCTCCTGTGTTTAAATAAGCCAGTAGCTGTATTTGATATAATTTTTGGATGGCCGTTGCTTGTAGAACTTTCGGTCCCCATGCAATGGCTCCGTACGTTAACATAGGTATTATTATTGCATGTAGACCAGGTGACCACACGGAGTGAAAGACCCCATGCGCGTCCCACTGTCCTCCGACATTGCTCATGAGCCACATATGCTCCTTTTGCTCTACTCTCTAGGTGAAAGTTCCATGTTAGCTTTCTGTCGAGGATAGTACCAAGGTATTTCACCTCTTCAGATAAGTTTAGTTTGCTTTTGAAGATTTCGGAAGGTTTTAAGCCCGATAAACTTCTTTTCCTGTGAAAAGGACCATCTCAGTCTTCTTGGGATTGATCAACAGTGAGTGTTCCTTACACCATGTTTCTATCAATTTGAGCCCATCCTGCGCTCTATGGCACAGTGTGTTCACAAATTTGCTGGTCTGCAAGATAACTATGTCATCTGCATATGCTATTGTGTAGAATCCATTATTATTGAAGTGATTAATCAGAGTATCCAGAACTATGTTCCAGAGAAGGGGTGAGGGGATTTCCCCGTGGACATCCCCTCATGACTAGACCTCTCACTGTGATATCTTCTGCATTGATACTTAGTGCTCTACTAGAGAGCATCTTGAGTATCTCCTACTACCAGGTATACATTCCTGGAGTGTAGTTGCTGGATAATTGTTGGAAAGGTTGTTTTATTGAACGCTCCGTCGATATCTATGAATATACCCAGGGTATTGAATAATTTTCATTCGTGAATATTTAGATTTTATTGTTTTTCTTTAATAAACTCTACAGAAAAGTTCTCGAAATCACACACTAGCATGGTTACAATTTTGAGTTGTAAAATAGTTCAAGTTGTAAAATAATTCAAGTCCACGTCGTATGGATTCACATTGTATCCAAAATCAGGGCGAAATAATAATTTTCTCCTAATATGTTCTCCTGATATGCCCATTAAAATGAGCCTAAAAAGCAATTGGATAGATCAATACATATCAAATATATAATTAACGTATATAACAGACACATTCATAAATAACAATATGTCTTGAAACAATCGAGTGAGTGAACAAAGCAGCAATGATGAAAAATAATTCAAAACTTTTTTCACTGACGTAGATAAGAGAAAAACGCATCGATTGTATGGGAGCTAATTTCAAAAAGTAGTTGTTTTATTTTGTTTGAATACTTGTTCCTTGGTTACAATTTTAAAAATCTCCGTAAGTGCATTTATAATCTCAGCACCTAATGCGGATATTATATTCATGAAAAGATTGATTTTGTTTGAATACTTGTTCCTTGGTTACAATTTTAAAAATCTCCGTAAGTGCATTTATAATCTCAGCCCCAAATGCGGATATTATATTCATGAAAAGATTGATTTTGTTTAAAAACTTCTTCAATTTATGGATGTACAACAAAACTTCCAGAATGCAGAGACCAAGTAAAAGCAAAATTTGCAATTTTTTTATTAATGTTCTAAACGATGATGTTCGTGATGCGTTTGCAATGGTTCTAATAATTCTCTTTTGCTTTACAAAATTATTGTATGCAGGTGATGAATTTCACCCAACAATAATCCCATATTCGGTTAACTAGTTTAGTGATCCAATAATTCATTTGAAAAAGGTTGGTTGGGTAACAGAATCAATTTTTTTCTCAAAAAAACAATTGTTTTCTTGCCGATGTTTCGAATTGAATTGAAATACGCAGTATCAAGGCCATTGACAACTCTTCTAGTGTTAACACTGTTAGATATATATGGTTCGACATCTAGAATAGTTGGATAATCAAAATCAAAAATGTGTCCATATATAGTGTACAAATTGAACTGTGGAAGCTGTCACAAATATATGTTGGCCAAACCGGACGGTATCTTAAAACACGAGTTTTAGAATACAAGAGAGACTCTAAGAAACTGTATATAAGAAACACCACAGCTCTCGTTGAACATAAAAAAGAATATGTACATATTTCTGACTATTCTAGATGTTCAACCATATTTATCCAAAAGACTTTTGAGCGAAATGATACATATTGTCAAATGCGATAGTGTTAACACTAGAAGACACTGGCGATGGCCTCAATACTGTATATTTGATAAGTAAAATACCTTAATATTTTATCCTTCTTTCTTTCTTTTTCTTTCCGCTATTGATTAAAAAACAGACACCACCTTATCAGGATTACAGATAAAGCTATTCATTTGTTTCATGTCGTTTTGTGTTGGTGTTGTCTCGGAATTTTGGTTGTTGCAATGTTTTTTATTTTTTTAAAGATGCATCTAATATGTCTGATGGTTTTTCAAATAGTAATTTTATCAACACGAAAAAACTACTTTTCGGTAAGTAATTCAATTAAGAACTCTGATTATTTTTTGAGAAATTGAAACGATAATAATTGTATATCTACTGCTTTCGTTTCGGATTTTATTTTGTTGCAATTCAGGCAAATCTTTTGATTCAAATAGGAGGTAAGAATCATCAGTATACAAACAAATGCAAAACAGTTGGCAACTCATTGATATAGAGAATAAAAAGTAGTGTCCCCAAAACTGGTCCTTGGGGAACACCTATGTCATTCTTTAACTGATCGGAAAAAGTTTAGTTATGACCGTCATTTGTTAGCCTGGATGCGATTTGGAAGATATTATTTGAAACAGAAGATTCCTGAATTGTACGTAGTCAAAGACAAGGCTGAGGTCACAAAAAATCCCAGCAGGATTTTCGCCGCTTTAACAGACTGTAGAAGATTCGAATAAAAAGAAATAATTGCCGTTGTAGTGGAATGATTCGATCGAAATCCGTGTTGGTTCGGAGTTAGAATATTATTTGTATTCAAAAAGTTATGTAGAAATTGCAGCATTATGTATTCGACTACTTTCGAGAGTGATGCAAAAACAGCATTAGCACGATAATTTACCAAATTATGAGAGTTTCTTATTTCAGGATTGAAGAAACTCTAGAATGTTTCAGTCGCGAAGGAAACTGTCCATGCTGAAGAGATATATAGATATATTTATAATACTCGATTCATTTCCAAAAATCCATTAATGCCAAGAAGAACTCGTTTAGCATCTCAGAAAATTAAAACGATAAGGAGTAAGAAAATAAAAATGTTGACCGGTCCACCTAAGTTCGAGAGATGTTCAAAATTCTTAAACTATTGGCAGATTTACATGGAGTATGGACAGTAGATATGAATTTATATATTGAGAAAGCCTTGTTGTTGCCTTTTAATTCAGGCATGCTAAGAACGTAACGCATGTCTTTGTGTTATTTCCATGTTTCAATTTGTTTACATTTTTGGTTATTTTCAATGGAAGATAAAAGTATCCTTGAGTTTTGTCTATGAGAAATCAGATATGAATAATAAACCATAGATTTCCATTTGTACCCTCCTAAACCAATAACACAAAAACAGATATCACACACAGGAACGCCATATAACATAAAATGCAAAAGAGCTTTTATCGATATAACATTTTACTTACAATAAAGCTTTCAATCTCTGTATGAATCATCAAAAGTTCCAGGTAAAAACAATTGTCTTCAACTTCTCATGCAGCATCTAGAATAATTCCGAAATACGATTCACTCTTTTCAAAAACTTTACTACCATATGTGTCGGAAAAACAAATCTGTCCACACCAGACACAAAGTTCGTGAAAATCATACATAACACGGCCATGTTATCAATTGGTAACTATTTGTGTTTTTGACCGATGTAGGTTTATCAGAATAGATTTTCTCATACCTCAGTCACACATAGAAAACTCTTGTACGCCTACTATTTTAGAATACGTTATATGCATTCTCATGCCTTGAACTCAAACCAAATTGTTAATATAATTACCATTTCAGAGATAAGCTATTTTAATACTCTTTGTTTGACATAAGAAAGGTGTTTGCTTTAAAACTTATCAAACAAACATCATGTTGTCGCAACAGTTGTAAATCTTTGATGGAAGTTGTTTGTCTTGAGCTTTTTACACCTAATAACCGTTGTTTTAATGATAATTTCTTGTCGTATATCATGTAATAATCATTCCATCAGCATTCTTTGCTCTTGGCACTTGCGATAAAGTTATATTGATAGGGCGGCTCATACTTCATCCAGTGGAACCTGTTTGATGAATTCTTTGCATCTACTCTAATACAGTCACTTTGTAAAATTACGATGGTGGCTTTTCTGGCTGTTCTGTCACTCATACGTTGGTACATCATATTTTACTTCTACTGATATTTCATTGATATCTATGTTTTACAAATAGTTCAAGTTAAAATTGGCCATATACAAAAACTAAAATTTAATTGATGTACATAAATCATTCCATCAAAACATTTAAGTAATATAATTTACGTGGCTACTGAAAATGACTTCTAGTTCTCAAAGTACCTACACCTATTCAAAACTGTGATATTCTGAATAATTAATATGTAGCCTACAGCAAGAGTAAATATTACCGTCCTGTTGATGTCATGAAAGTTTCTGCACAAAATACTAAAAAACAAAAAGTCTCCTTTTTTATCGATTTATATCAAAACCTAACTTGGCATACACTGTTTATACACTGTTCAAAGTTATACAGCGTGACTCACGGTCGATGGTAGGTTAGACGTTTCTGGAAAACGCAAAGCATGATTTTTCTGAAAATTCCACCTCTCACATTTCCCTACCTGTTCTATCGATCTAAAATATTTTCAGCGTTGCGGCGTTGCCACTTCCATCAAAAAGTCCTAGCAACTTTATTTTTTTAAATGGAACACCCCGTATACATTTTTTGAATCGCTCTGATATTTTAATACTTTTTTGTTGATAATGTCCTATACCTATCTCTATCTGTTTTCGAGATAAAAAATAAATTGTGCTAAATATGGTCCAAAACATAGCCTTAATTGAAATTAAGTACATTAGTACTCTCAATTCATGAAAAGTTGATATTTTGATGATAGTTTGGACAAACTTGAAATATTCAAATAACACCAAGAAATCGACTCCATATCATACAGGGCGTGCTAAAATTACTATTATTTCCATTGTGCATAAAAGTAGTTGAAAGTTCATTTTTTCAAATGAAACCCCCTGTTTATTACTCGATAAATTGAAAGATGGTGAAAAATGCTTCAAGATGATATACATATCCCTATACCTTAATCGTCAAGTTTTCTTAATAAAACCGTTTTTGAGGAAAAATAGGATGTATCTCACCGAACATCAAAATGTGGGCGTACACTATCCTGCTGGAATGTTTTTTCATTTATACTAAATTGTCATCATTTCCTAAAATTTGTGTAATCATAAGATCTACACAGTCTTGTAATAAATTTAAGTATGTGTCTCCATTGGGATTATCTCCAAAGAAGAATAGTCCAACAATATGATTGCCAAGAATGCCGACCAAGATATCAATTTTTGTGGAGTTTGTGAATGTGTTTCCATCATCAACTGAGGATTCATATCACTCCAGTAATGACAATTATGTCTGTTCACTTCACCATTCAACATAAAAGAACTTTCGGCCTAAAAACATGTATGGTATAATAGGTTTGGGTTATTGGTCAATTTCTCTTTAATCAACTCACAAAACTGAAATCGACGATAGGGATTCCTAAACTAGCCTTATTTTGAAAGGATGGAATTTGTAAGCTTTCAAAATCAGAGAAATACTAGTAGATGATACACCAGATGCTCTAGCTACTTCACTGATATATTGTAGATTATCCATTTGTACATGCCCTAAAACTGCAACTTCAACTCCGTCATTTCTGACAGGACGGATACTTCACGTTTTCTGTTGTGAACAGAACCAGAAGTTCGAAACTTTCCGTTAACTGTTTAACGTATTGATGGCTCACGTTGTGGTCTGGATGATTCCTATTATAAATCCTTGCAGAGGCTTGAGCTTCAGTAGAATAAACCATGTTTGAACATAGTGATCAAGGATGACTGAATAATAATTCGTGAAGAAGTAACAGTGGCCAACTATCTATTTTTGTTTTGCGACATAGGAGCTGACGCCCAGTTGTTCCGTTATTTCACTCACCATTTGTGATGGGTCAGTCTCCACCAGGGTCCTCAAATCCCTGTTCTGGATTACTTTAGGTCGACCACATCGGGTCTCATCTTCGAGGCTAAAATTTGCAGAATATAATTTCGCAAACTAACGTCGAACAGTAAGTTTTTTTTAACGCTTTCTTCCAATTTGAATTTGTAGAGAAAAATTGGCCGAAAATCACTTAACGACATGAGCTGAAAAAAAGAAAATGATAAAAATTTTCTCTATACATCAATGTATAGAGTACTAAATTCTCTATAGATCATTAAGTTATACCACGACGATATGGATATATTAAATAATCTCAAATTATGTTTGCCGACTTGTTTTAGGAGTACTTGTGATACACTCTTTGGAACCTTTGGTGTAAGAATGAATATTACTAAATATTTAGTTAATATTTAGTTTAATATTCCTCTTGAAGATGATCACTTGGTGATAGAAATACGTGTGGAGATGTTAAAATAACGGTTTGGTGTTGGGAAAAAACCCCAATAGTATTAACCTTGTATGAATATAAATATGATATGCATCTATTTGATATAGTGGGCAGCGAAAAAAGAAGTGCTGTTGGTTTATAAGGAAATTTTTTTCATGAAATTCACATACTTTTGATTTATTTTTTCAGTGCCATTTTTTACTTCATTTGTTTCATTAATCTTGAAAGAAGGATGTATTTATGTATATATTCAAGTTTACAGACTAATAGGTATTCACTTCACTTCAAAATAGGTTATCCAACGTCAAGCATAACATTGAACTGACAGTTCGTTTCGAAGTATACAGTTTCTAACGACAAAAAGGATAAAAACATGAACATGACAAGTGTTAACGAGTGTACACCACCAGTATTCCGTCTTTACCTGTATTTTAATTTTTATTATTTTTATCGGCAACCAAATTTAAGTTGTTAAGTTCATCATGAAACAATTTTAATACTCTTCGCACTAACACCACGAAAGATGGAATTCAAGATGTGATTCAGCTACAATTCTAATTGGTGTGCCTGTCTAGCGAACAGGACAGCCAGGTTCGAATCCCGGTCGGATCAAACTTTTTCAATTCATTTTCATTTATGTCTGTGTACCACAAATCTACTCTTTCTCAGAAATGTAAAAACGGCTAGTTTACATCCATCACCATTTAGGAAGCTGTACTTTTCATCTATCAATCCATTCCATGTCACCATCTGTGTCTGTCTATTTGTCTGAACACGATAAACTCAAAAATTACCAAACGGATTTTCATACGGTTTTGTTAATGGAAGGAATAATTGAAGAGGAAGGTATATGTTCATAATTCATCAATATACCGTGTAAATTGGTTGGAATATATTACCCCTGCGATGTCGCACAAGTGGAACACCTGTTCTATGCCAAGGAGATGCCGTCAAAAACACTGAATATCCCTTTGAGATATAACAAAACATTCCACTACAGATTATTTATTTTTATAGGACTATATAGAAGTCCATGATGGCATATGTCTATCTTTCAAGGATAGCTTACCATACCTAACCAATGCGATACGCGCGATGAAGAAAGGTTACAATTGTATTGGTTTTTATTTTGAATAACGAATGAATTCGGGTGTTGAGGTCGCATTTTCATTTATTGTTATCTTTATATAGGTAGGTACTCACCTATTGTACCTAACAACTGCACTGGCGGATACTACATCTGCACTAAGATACTAGTCTCTTCAGAGGTGACTTAGAATATTTTTTAGTAAAAATATACATTTAATTTCATCGATAATCCAACAGAAAATATGCAAATAACGTGAGTATATCTGAAAACTGTATTTTCCACTTTACACTACGACAATTCATTATCAGAGCCCATATTTTTTATATATTCGCATTTTACCTAAAACTTTTGAATTCAATTATTTTAACAAGCCATGAATTTTTATTTTTTTTATACTTTGGTTTAATAGACAAAGTTATTAGTGTGTTATATGGAGTCGTATATTTGACAATGATGACTAATATCGGGCAGAATTTCGAGTTTATTGCTTCAAGTTTAGATCAGTAAATATTGAATAGAAATGCCGTTGACTTCAACAGAAAACATCGTAATAATCCGTTTTATATAGCGATCATGCTCGTAAAAGCAAAAACGTTGATGCATAAGTTAATTTGAAATATGCCCAACAAGATCTGCCACGAAAAAGAAGCCGCAGAAAATGCAGTTTTCAATGATACCGATAATAATCAAAATCCAATCTCTTCAAATTGATTTGCATCCTCAAGATACCGATATATAATTTCGTTAGATTCAGCAAATAAATACAAAAACTTCTGAGAATAATCATCTTGATTTATATTGGCAAGAATAAAATGAAAAGATGTTTCGTTTTGTCACAAAAACCAGCCCTATAAACAGAAGTTCTCAGATATATTGAAAGAAGGTGATCAAAACTGTGGATATTGGTTGAAGTCAACACCAGTAACTTTTACCAATAGCCTCATTAAATACTTCATTACTATTTTTCGAGTACTTTTACTTACCCTAGTACTTTTTCGAAGTCACTATTGTACTTCTAGCTCAGTATAATTTTTCAAAAGTATTTGTACTTAGTAATTGAGCCTGAAATGGCATATGCTTGACCGAGATTCGTTTGCTACGATATATTCTCAAAATTACTAGGCTTTATCTAACCACGAAGAACTCACTTCTGACTATGACATTTTTTTCAGATCATCGTTCAAGCAAGGTTAGAATTTAATGTAAACGGTCGCTTTCGAATTGAATGAATATTGT